CTGGTGGGCCAACTACAGAGCAATGGGGGATACTGGAGGGCAGAAAGGCAGACAGGAGGTGTGTTTGGTCAGTCATTGAGGGGGTGGGACTGATTGGGTGTTTGAGGTCATGAGCCAAATATGTGAACATTCAAACAAGGAGCAGGAGTAGGCCACTCAGCCCATCAAGTCTGCTCTGTCAAGACCATGGCTGATCTGACTGTAACCTCAAATCCACATACCCACCCACCCTAATAACGTTTCACCCCCTTTATTTAACAAGAGTCTATCTATCTGTGCCTTAAAAATATTCATGAACTCTGTTTCGTCGCCTTTTCAAGAAGAAAGTTCCAAAGACATTCAATCCTCTGCAAAAACATTTACCCCCAACTCTGTTTTAAGTGAGTGCCCCCTCTAGATTCACCCCTAAGATGAAATGTTTTCTCCACATGCACCCTGTTAAGGATCTTGTATGTTGTTTCAATCAAGTCACCTCTTACTGTAGCGAATACAAACCTAATCCTATCTAAGCTTGCTTCATAAGAACCATTTCCATGCATTAGTGAAGGAAACCTCCTCTAATCTGTTTTAATTGCCTTTTGTCCTTAACACAGTAGTCCAGATGTAGGCTCACCCGTGCCCTGTGTGATTGAAACATAACTTCCCTATTTCTGCATTTGATTCACCTCTCAACTGACAATATTCAAGCAGGCATCCTCATTACTTGTTGTACCTGCATACTGACCTTTTGCGATTTGTGCACAAGGATTCTAACAACATGGGCAGAAAGAGAGATAAGGTCCTGCAAAGGGAATTTAAGGAGTTAGGTAGAAAGTTGAAAAACAAGACCTCTAAGGTTGTAATCTCTGGATTACTCCTTGTGCCATGTGCCAATGAGGCCAGAAATAGGAAGATAATATGGCTGAATGTGTTGCTAAAGAGCTATTGTAGGCGGGAGAGTTTCAGATATCTAGATCATTGGGATCTCCTCCAGGGCAGGAGGGACCTGTACAAAGAAGATGGGTTGCACCTAAACTGGAGGGCCATCAATATCTTTTCAGGGAGATTTGCCAGTGTCGCTCCAGAGGGTTTAAACTAATGTGGTAAGGGGTTGGGAAACCAGAACTGTAGGTTAGCATGTGGAATAATTGAGGACAAGGTAGAGGTTAAGTCAAGTCAGACTAACTGGGAGAACAAGCAGGATCAGGTTAATGAACACAGCAGGACTGGAAGTCTGAAGTGTATTTATTTTAACACGAGGAGTGTAACAGATAAGGCAGATGCACTTAGATCCTGCATTAGTACATGGAACTGCAATGTTGTCGCCATTACAGAAACTTGGTTCAGAGAAGGGCAGGACTGGCAGCTCAACATTACGTGGTGAAGAGATTTCAGATGTGATAGAGAGGGATGGAGAAGGGTTGGGGGAATTGCACTACTGGGCAGCATAGAGGCTCAGTGGTTAGCATTGCTGCCTCACAGCACCAGGGATTCAGGTTCAATTCCATCCTCAGGTAAACATACTAAATTGAGGGAAACCTAATTACGTCAGTGATAAGCAGGAACTGGAAAAAAATTGGATTGAGGCAGCTGTTTGAAGGTAAATCCATGTCTGTTGTGGGAGTCTTTTAAAAGCCATTTGACCAGAGTTCAGGGCCAGCATGTTCCTGTGAAGATGAAAAATAAGGATGGCAAGATTCAGGAATCTTGGACGACAAGAGATGTAAGTTTAGTTAAAAAGGAAAAGGAAGCATATATAAAGTTTAGGAAACAGACATCAAACAGGGCCCTTGAAGAGTTAAAAAGGGAGCAGAAAAGAATATTAAAAAAAATTAGGAGGGCTGGAAGGGGCCATAAAAGACTTTGCCAAGTCAGATTAAGGAGAATCCTGAGGCATTTTATACATATACTTTGAGCAAGAAGGTACGATTTTGAGCAAGAAGGTACGATGGAAAGGGTGGGTCCACTTAAGAACAAAGGAGGGAACATGAGTGTGAAGCCAGAGGATGTGGGTGAGATCCTTAATGAGTACTTCACATTGGCATTCACCAAGGAGAATGACGTGGATAAGTTTAGAGAGGGATTTGTTGATACTCTAAGGCAATATTAAGGAGAAAGTGGTGTTGTGTGTCTTGAAAAACATTAGGATAGATAAGTCGATACAGTGTGGAACTGGAGGAACTCCAGCAGGATAGTCCCTAGGGCCTGATGGCATCTATTAGAGAATAATGAAACAAGGGTAGAGATTACAGAGGTCTTGACAGAGATCTTTGTGTCCTCTTCAGCCGCAGGCAAGGTCCCAGAAGACTGGAGAATTGCCAATGTTGTTGTTTCGTTCTGGTAATCCAGGAAACTATAGGTCAATGAGCCTTAGATCAATAGTAGGGAAATTATTGGAGAAGATACTTAGGGACAGGGTTTACTTGCATTTGGAGGTGAATGGACTTATTGGGGATGATTAGCATGGCTTGTTGTGGGGGAGGTCTTGTCTCTCGAACTTGATTCAGTATTTTAAGGAAGTGATGAAGATGATTGAGAGTAGGGCAGTGGATGTTGTCCATATGGACTTTAGTAAAGCATTTGACAAGATCCCTCATAGGCTGGTCTAGAAGATCAAACCACATGGTGGATTGGCAAGTTGGACACAAAATTGCTTGGTCATTAAAATACAGAGGGTAGTTATGGAGGGGTGTTTTTCTGACTAGAAAACTGTGACCAGTGATGTTCTGCAAGGATCAGTTTTGGGACATCTTTTTGTTTGTAATATATATGTAAATGATTTGGATGAAAATGTCAGTGGCCTAATTAAGTTTGCAGATGACATGAAAATTGCTGGAGTTGTGGATAGTGAAGAAGGATGTCAAAGGATGCAACAGGATATAGATAAATTGGAAAGTTAGGCAATAAAGTGGCAGAGTCCATGTAATTCAGACAAGTGTGAGATGATCCATTTTTGGAGGTCATACGCAAAGAGGAAAGTATACAGTAAATGTTGGAACCTTAGCACTCTTACAATCCATAGTCCCAAGTCCATAGCTTTCTGAAAGTGGTAAGACAGTTGTACAGACTGGTAAAGAAGACCTGCTTATGGCAAATGTATTTTTGTCTGTCGGGACACCGAGTAGCAAAATTAGCAAGTCATGTTGTAGCAAACTTTAGTTAGGCCACATTTGCAGTACTGTGCACAATTCTGGTTGCTGCTGTATGAATAACAAAGTACAGCAAAGGAACAGGCCCTTCAGCCCACCAAGACTGCATCCAACACATGGCACATTCTAAACTAAAAACCTTTTGCCTCTACACGGTGTGTATCTGTCTCTTCTGTGTTTATTTGTATATCTGTCAAGATGCCTCTTAAATGTTGCAAATGTATCCGTCTCCTGCTCCATCTCTGGTAAGTACCTAGAACACACTGCCACTCTGTTTGAAAAAAAGACTTGCCTCTCACGTCTCTTTTAAACTTGCCCCCTTTCACAGGGGAGGTGATAGCCTAGTGGTGGACTGTTCATCCAGAAACCCGGAATCCTGCCATGGCAGTTGGAATTTGAATTCAATAAATGTTTGGAATTAAGAGTCTACAGATGACCATGAATCCATTGTTGATTGTCAGGAAAAACTTATCTGGTTCACTAATGTCCTTTAGGGAAGGAAACTGCCATCCTTATCTGGTCTGGTCTGGCCTACATGTGACTCCTGACCCACAGCAATGTGGTTGACTCTTAACTGCCCTCTGGGCAATTAGGGACAGGCAATAAATGCTGCCTGGCCAGCGACACCCTCATCCTGTGAATGAATAAAGAAAAAAGCTAGTCCCCTAGTAATTGACATTTCCACCTTGGGGGAGAAAGACTCCAACTATCCACTCTATCTGTGCTTCTCATGATTTTGTAAATTCTATCAGGAAGGATGTGGAGGCTTTAGAGTAGGTGCAGAAGTTCACCAGGATGTTGCCTGGATTGGAGTGTATTAGCTATAAGGAAACGTTGGACAAACTTGGATTGTTTTTGCTAGAGTATTGGAGGTTGAAGGGCGATCTGATAGAAGTAGATAAAAATTATAAGGGACAATATAAGGTGGATAGTCAGACTCTTTCTCCTAGGTCGAAAATGTCAAATACTAGGGCATATAGGTTTAAGGTGTGAGGGAAAAGTTTAGAGGAGATGTATAAGGGAAGTTTTTTTTCTTACAGAGAGGGTGGTAGGTGCTTGGAACGTGCTGCCAGAGGAAGTGTTAGAAGCAGAAGCTAAAGCAATGTCTCAGAGGCATTTGGACAGACACATGAACAGGGAGAGAGTGGAGGGATACGGATCATTTGCAGGCGGATGGGATTAGTTTAAAATAGCATCATGGTCTGCACAGACACAGTTCCTGTGCTGTGTTCTTCTATGTTGTTTGACACCCATGTCCCTCCACACCTCAGTGTTCTGCAATCTTTCACCATTTAAATAATGTGCCTCTTACTTTATTCTTCCGGCCAAAATGGACAATTTCATATTTCCACATTGTACTCGATTTGTCACATCTCTTCCCACTGACTTAACTCCATATCCCTTTACAGCCTCCTTGTCACAAATTAATCTCCTATCTATCTCTGTCTCATCAGCAAATATCTTCTGTCCTTTCATCCAAATCATTTCTATAAATTGTAAACAGTTGACAACCCAGCACAAGCCCCAGTGGCACACTACTTGTGACATCCTGTCAACCTGAGAAAGACCTGTTCTATCACTTCCCTGATTCACAGGCAAACAGTAAGCATTAATCCATTCAATACACGACCTCTTACAACACAGGTTGATGGGGAGGGTTTGGATAATATGGGTGGGGTTCCAAAATGATGTGATGGGGGGTGATGTGCTAGTTTTGATTGATGGCGAAGTGATGAGGGAGGTGTGGTTGATTGTTGGGGGTCAGGAGGTGACTTGGTGGAGGGATGGGGTGGGAAATGGGGAACTGAACGGTGTTGTGTGTAGAGTCTCGTTGCCTGCTGCTGAAGCCTTTCTGTGTCTGGGCTGTGACAGGCGCTGGCGAGTATGAGCCTGAACACTCAGCCCATCCTCAATCTGGAGAAGTTCAATGAGGCTCAGGAACTGCCTGTAGGTGGACGAGGCCGGGATGACCAGACCTCCACTCCCTCCACCGAGTTCAACCCACTCATCTATGGCAATGATGTCGACTCTGTGGATATAGCCACCCGGTAAGTGAGAGTGCGACTGGGGCCCTTGCCATTCCTGCGATTTTTTTCTCTCCGCTGGCCCTGTCCCACACCTCCCTTGCCCTCCCCCTCAATGTAACTGTCCCTCTTGCCCTTTCACAGTGCTGTGTTGTTTTTCTCATTCTCAGGGTAGCCATGGTGAGATTCTTCAACTCGCCCAATGTGCTGCATGGATTTTTGTCTCACACCCGCACTCTCAGACTCTTCCCTCGGCCTGTCGTTGCTTTCCAAGTCAATTCCTTCCTGGCCTCCAGACCCAAACTCTCGCTGTTCACGGAGAAGCTTGCTCGGACACAGGCAGTGGAGTATGCTGGGGAGTGGTCCCTGAATCCTACCAACTACACGTTCCAGAGGATCCATAACAGTAAGTCAGGAGAAGGGAAAGCCCTGCTGCTGAATGATGGTGGGTGAGTTCCTAGCTCAAGAGGGTGGGGTGAATGGCACTGACCTTGCTGTTTATCGGGGTGAGCTGTCTGGTGGGTTGTCTTTCTTCCACATCCACCACACACACAAGGTTCTCAGCCCCTGTCCTGTGAAACGTGGCCATTCAGCCCCTCGACTATTCTGCTATTTGTCCTTTCAGTTGTTTCATATTTACACAGCCTTTTGAACAGGGAGAGTACTTTCTGATCTCCAGTCTGAGCAACCTTGCTTCAATTTACATTATATCCTCTCCTCATGGATTCCCTCAACTTCACAAACTTTTACGACTTTGTTCATTTTAAATATCTCAGTCAGGCCACCTCTCAGTCTTCTCCTTGTTCTTGAGTGAACATATGGGTTCAGGGTACAGCAAGCAATTAAGGCATGTGTCCTGATGTCCTTTCTTACAAGAGGATGTGTGTATAGGAGTGAAGATTCCTTACTGCATTTCGATCATACCTTGGTATTGTCTCTTCATGAAAGGTCTATTTGCCAGACAGAATTAAACAAAAAGTTTCTCAAACTCCTTCATGGGATGGGGAGGGATTGTTGTTTGAGGAAGGATTAAATCGACTGAGCCTGTATTCTCTGGGGGTTAGAGGAGTGCGAGACAATCTCGTTGAAACATACACAGTTTTTACAGGGATCGGCAGAGTAGATACAGAAAGACATTTCCATCAGCTGAGGGTGCAGAACCAGGGGGGATTACAGTTTTTGGGACTGAACAAAAACAAGTTGCTGAAAGCTCAGGAGTTCTGGCAGCATCTATGAAGAAAAAATCAGAGTCAACGTTTCGGGTCCAGTGACCCTTCCTCAGAACAGGTTCTAATGCCTTCACAGAAGTAGCCAGACCTGCTGAGCTTTTCCAGCTACTTCTGTTTTTGTTCCTGCTTTAGAGCATCCGCAGTTCTTTCGGTTTTCGTTTGGGACTGAGATGGGGGAGAATCTCTTCGCTCAGAGTGGCGTGAATTTTTGGAAACCTCTACCTCAGTGGGCTGTTGAGGCTGTCATCAAGACTGAGATTGATGCATTTCTACAGACGAAAACATTACAGGATACGGGGATAGTGCAGGAAAACGATATTGAAGTAGATGGTCAACCTGATCTCATTGAATGATGGAGCAGTTCAAAGGTCTGTGAGGACTACTGCTGCCCCTGTCTTTTGCATTGTTATGACAGGGACACACACAGCTGGACCTCCACCTCTGTATTCGCAACACATTAAAATGAAACTATCAAAGATCCCCAATGGATTCCCAACTAGACTTCTGAATAGCCAATCCAAGACTTTGCTAGTAACTGATTCCAAGCATCAGTTTTGTATCTTAAACAAAAGACTTAATTTGATAAATATACCATAACTTTAACAGAGGAAAAAAAAACACTAAATAGGGTAATCTAATTAATGTCTAAGCTTTAAGCCCAAAATGTTTGTTTTCAGTCCCAGTCACATAAAAGACAGACGAACATGGAGATAAATAAACAAAAATAACAAAACCGGCCAAATCACTTTCACTATGCATTGTTCCACAGTTATAAATGTGGACTCCTTGGCTGCTTTTACTGAAACATTGATTAGCGTTGCCTTCTCAGTCCACTCTGACAAAGGCAACTACACGTCTAACTCAGATTTCTACTCTCTGAGCTTCCGAAAGCTGGTGTGCAGGGGATTAAACAGTGAGCTTTCAAATCTTCATGTTGCTTTGTCTTACAATGGGGAAGGTCGAACCCCTCTGATAATTAAACTGAAACACAAGCCTCCAACGGCAGGAGTAGAGGTTTCCTTATAATAATTTAACCCAAAACACCCAGAGAAGCTTGTCTCACCTTTTATAATCTATTAAAAAGAGTGGCTTAAATGAAAGAAAATCCCTGATATGCACTGTAAAAGCAGCAAGTAACAATTTACTTATTTAACCCTAACAATGAACAAATTAACAGAATTACTGTCAAATTACAAGCAACTCGGAATTGCGCAAAGCAGAACAGGAGCAGTTATACGAAGTTTTTAAAGGGAATGGATACTCAAAAAGCACAATCCGCCGTTACCTCTGCGACAGACTGCAACAAGAAGACGCAACACGGCCAGACATGCTAGTCACCCTACTGTGTGTCAGAGATGACCACGACTACTCAGACTCCTAGGTATCAGGGTAACCTACAAACCAACAACCACCCTGCGACAGCTACTTCCTGTCTGTATACTACCGGTAACACAATCTGGTGAACTTCCGCCCCTTTCTCCTCTGCACTAACCTGCCAAAGTCTCCATTTCCATGAGGATTCTACTCTTGAGATAATAACACTCGGGAATACATTCTGATTTCTTTTCTAAATAAGCTTTATGATATAAATCTTTTATTGTCTCGTCTCTTTGTTGTAACTCCAGTAATCTTTCAGAACTAAACACCTTTGCCTGATCCTCTACCTGTTCAGGTTTTACCTTTACCATTTCATCAAACAGCATGTCGGCTAACTGGACCTCCTTCGTCTCGCTTTGTTTTTCCGTTCTTGCTGTAATTTATGACTGTGGGATCTTGTTACCGCACAGTCCAGAAAAATTTCAGGGTATTTTTCTTTTAACTCCTCAGTTCCCTGGCTTTCCTTTGGCTTCTCCAATACAAGGGGCATCACTCCCACTTTTGTTTCCAAGAACAAACCATACTCCTGGAATAGACACACTTTCAATCACTCCCACTGTCGCTTCCCCAGACTTGATTGGAATTTCCAACGTGATCTTGCACAGGGGAAGGTGAAATCTCTCTTTATTCCACAGATTACCACTCTCTCGAGTAATGTTTCAGGAGGAACGCCAATACTTTCATCTCTAACTATTAGAGACTGACCAGCTCCTGTATCTCGCGATATTTTAACTCCTTCACCTTCTCCCCCAGTTCTTCCTGAGTAAACCTTACCCACAGAGGTGAAGTCTTTATAGAGATCGGGCACTGTCTCACTGTCCAGCCTGTGACTGGGCAGTATACTCTCCTGCAGCTCCTCGACTCCTTTTGGGATTTCCTTCACTACCTCAACTAATCCCACTGGTTTAACCTCTTTTACCATATCCTTTTTCCCAAGTACCTTTCTTAAACCAGTGCTGTGACTTTGTGTCCCACTCCGTTACAGTGAAAACACCTGAGACCTCTTGCCTCCTTTTCACCCTCTTGGGTTTCTTTTTTCACCTGTGGTAAACTGTTCCCAGTGATTTGCATTTTGTTTTTCATTGAAGGATCTCCCTTTCTTCCAATTTTGATCCCTCATGGAATAAATTGCTAAACTTCGATTTATGCGCTAATGCGTATTCATCCCCACCTCTGCAGGTCTTCTCACAGTTTGAACTTTCTGTTCCTCAGTTCTGTTTCTGAGTTCATTTCATCTCTGAAAGTGAGTTTTTAAATTCCTCTGGTACAGTAATTTCTCTAAGAGCCTCATGTCTTTTCTGTCTTTAATGCTCTCACCCATATATCGAAGTTGCTCTGTTTAATTCTTTCGAACTCGACATAACTCTAACCTTCTTTATGTTACTGGACTGTTGTCTATGTGCTTCTGGTACCAATTCGTAGGCACTCAAAATAGCCTGTTTAACCTCTTCATAATCTCTTGACACCTCATCTGACAGTGCTGCAAACACCTCACTAGCCCTGCCTACCAACTTGGTCCAAATTACCCGCACAGTCTCTGGCCAGTTCACCTGCCTGGCCAGTTTCTCAAATGAAATGAAAAAGGCTTCTACGTCCTTTTCATCAAATTTTGGTAATGTTTCAACATATTTGTATATATCCCTGCTAGGCTGTTGGCCGTGATGAATTTGCTGATCCTCATTTCCATCTTGTATTTTTCCTCCTGCCAGATGCAATCTTTTTGCTTCGAGTTCCAACTTCATCTTTTCCCATGTGAACATTCTTTCCCTTTCTGCTCTCTCTCTTTCCCTTTCTCTTTCTCTCTCTATTCCCTATCTTTTTCCCTCTATTCTCTCTCTTTTTCTTTTTGTTCATCTAAGAAACTTCTATTTTCTTTCTCTTCTGACTCTAATTGTCAATTTAATTTTCTCTAAAAGGACATCAATTGACATCCCACTGGCCAAAGAAACAGTGGCCACATTATTAGAGGAAACAGGAACGCAGACCAGCAACTCCATCAGCAATGACAACATACCCCAAACTACTAGACTTGTGAACAAAAGCAAAGTTGCTGAAAAGTTCAGCAGGTCTGGCAGCATCTGTGAAGGGAAAAACAGAGTTAACGTTTCGGGTCCGGTGACCCTTCCTCAGAACAGACTAGTGCCTCATTACACACTTCATCTTTAATGGTCAAATATACATACAGATCAATGGCACACCCATGGGGTCACCCATCTCAGGACTCATCACAGAGGCAAGGACTAGAACACACTACCCTCCCCCTCCTTCAACCTAAACTGTGGGTCCGGTAGGTGGACGACACATTTGTCATCGTTAAATACACAAAACCAGAAGAGACCCACCACCTCATCAACAATGTATTCATGGGGATTAAATTTACGAGAGAAGAAGAAAACAACAATCAGCTTCCATTTCTGGACATCAGAGTTGAATATATGACCAATGGGGAGTTCCAAACCTCAGTGTACAGGAAAGCAACCCACACTGACCAAATCCTCAACCTCCACAGCAGCAACCCGATGTCCACAAACAAAGCTGTGTTAGGACACTATTTAAATGGGCCACCACTCACTACGACACGCCAGAACTATGCAGGAAAGAGGAAGAGCACCTAGACAAAATCTTCTCTATGAACGGATATCCCGGCAGCTTCATCCGCAGGTGCCTATTAAATAGACAACACCAAGACAACACAGTACGCTCTAACACACTGGCCACACTGCCCCATATTAAGAACATATCAGAACTCACAACGAGACTCCTAAGACCACTAGGAATCATGGTGGCCCACAAACCCACA